GGTGGTTTGATCATGTGACTTTTCTTTGTCCACCAAACTTCCTCACAGCTTGTTGTCAGCTGTTTGTCAGGACCTGACGTCTTGTTGAGTTTGACTCTGTCTTGCAGTAGATTCCTGGATGCAAAGCTAATTCACAAGATATTATTAAAAATCATCCATTTGCTGAATTGCAAAAGACCCAGCTCGACAGGCTCTCAAGTCGAAGCGACGTCGACTGAACGTGGAGAACAGCAGATAGAAATGGTTCATTTTAACTGAGGGAGGAAAAACCGGAAAAGACCCAGAAAACCCCTCAAAGCAAGGGAGAGAACAAAAGAAACTCAAATCACATATGGCACCCCGACCCAGATTCAAACAGGGTCCACAGAGGTGACAGGCCAGTGCTCTCACTGCCTGCCCACCCTTGCTTCCCATTGTATTTATCATAATTTATCATAATTTATCTCACCTGGTTATAATGTCAGTGGGTAGTGCTTTAATAAGTGAAAGATATGCCTTTTGTACAGCTTCATTCACATCCATCAATCTCACAGTACAGTCTTCGAGGCATCTAAAAYATTGTTATTAAGACTAGTTTAGCACTGCTGAATTCAAGKCATTTTTGGCTGGTTTTTCCTTCTACAATCAGTGTCAATTTACCGTTTAAGTCCAACAGAAGACAGAAGCTTTAATTCAACCAAGATTTTCAAGCACTGACAAACCTCCATGGTCAGGTTGTGACACGRACTAAAYGCTGTACAAAAAATAATTATTGCCTTGTTACTTGTGGTCATTGAACAGGGTTGATAATGTTTATTCATCTTTTTTTATTCATCTACTTAGCCATCCTTTCAATCATCCATTTACATTGCAAAATTGGGAAATAACTTACTCAATGGCAAAAGACTGTTTCCAAGAACATCAAAATTAAAGTGTTTTTGAACTCTGGTTGTGATTTCTGGTCCTGATTTGAAGATTAAGTCTAGTATTTCGGTAGCCCACACCAAACACAACCTCCTGTTGAACAAAATACCAGGATTATAAACTAAGAAACACAACTCGTCAATACACCATTACATGCAGTTCACATTATACAATTGCTAAAGTCGCTGAAATGTCTGTATATCATTCTTGTATGTACTTGTAGACCCTACTCATTGCCTCAACAGAAAATTGATTTTCTATTGGGAAACTAAGAAGCATTTGTATATGAGAGTGTCAAAACAGCATTTGCATAAAAGGAAAAGCTGGTATTGGTATTCCAACTACCTGGTATCTTGTCCTGAACTTGAATTGACCAACAGTTTTGACAATAAACCAAGAATAAAGCTCATGCTGCCGTTTTGGTTGGTTGGGTTTCTGATCAAGTCCTTTACACTGGACAAGAAATGGGTATTCCTGAAAAAAAAAAACACAAAAAATAAACACAATAGTTCCACTACTTTTAATTTTTCAACCTATTTAACAGACTCGTACACAGCCGTTACTCCTTATTTTTCGCAACGCTCGAAGAGGTTGATGGGAACCCTTCGCCCTTCCCTTGATGCATTACGCGTCTCTAAAAAAAGCCGGAGAAGCGACTGGGTACGAGTCTGCCTATTTAATCACAGAGGCTCACTATAGAAAAGTGAAATATCAGGGAGATTGGTATCCCATGATACAGTACATTGCAAACCAATTCAAAATGGTGGGTTGTGATAGAAACTATGGGCTAGGACCAACCAATGCATGCTATGTTCTGTTATTGAAAGGGAGAATACAAGGAAATAGAACTAATCTTTGCAGTATCCTACCTTTGACAGTGAGAATATAGTGCATGTAAGATGGTGTATTGTACAGCTGGGTAGCATCTTGCAATAGTCCATTCACAGGCACTTGTATGGACAGTTAGAAGTTCAAACAGTGATGGAGTTAGCTTCCACAACTACAACAAGTAAATCAATGTAGGAATGAAGGATTGGATTAAACAGGGTTCCCACTTTAAAAGTAAAATTCCCTGACTTTTCACTGACCAAAAACCCTTTTTCAATGACCAGGTGACAAGATTATCTTAAGTCCTTTTATTGAACAATGCAAAGTCTCTATCAAAGATAACTGTTATCGGTAACAAAATCCCTTTTTTTTGCAAAGACCAGGAAAAATTTGGCAAAAATTCCCTGACATTTTGATAAATTGTATATTTCCCTGACCAAAATCAAAATTCCCTGACAATTCCCTGACCTTGAAAAAATTCAAATTTCACTGACTTTTTCCTGACCCTGGGAACCCTGTTAAACCAGAAAATCATTCTTCAAAGTTATTGTTGTATATGTTATCATTATTCCAACAACCTACCCCAATGATTGGTGACTTTGCTGTTGCAATCTCAGACAAGGCRCATAAATCAAATATCAAAATTGTCTGGATCTCATGTGCTTTATCCGTTATTCTTTCATTCTCAATGCCTGGATCACTTCCTGGAGTATCTCCTGGTTGCTTGGCAACTGAATTGGCTTCCATAGCAACAGGATGAGTTGTTGTAGGTTCATTTGTGATATCCATGGGAGATTCGTTTGGGTTCCCTGTGGATATTGGTTCTGTGACTACTGGTAAATCGTCAGTGGTGTTTTCTTCAGTATCTTGTGTAACACAGGTTATTTTCTTGAGCTGGTTGAATTGTTCTGTCATTTCTGTTACAGTTAAGCTGCCGCAAAGAAACAACTATGTCAAGATATATCTGAGATGTATTTGTATAGGTAATAGCATCTTTTGTAGTGGTATTTGGGATAAATACCTTGAGCAATATTTCAAAATTGTCAAACAACCCAATTTGTGACAAATTTTGAAATATCACAAGTGGTATTTATCCCAAATTCCAAGTACAAAACATGCTATTATTTGTTTATAAAATGGTTGAATAAAATTGTACAATTTGAAATACCACTATTAATGATAAATACTACTCCGCTAAGCCAATCAAATTGCAAAATTTTATTCAACCATATTATAAACACCATAAGAGACTTATAGCTTTTAGTAAACCATCACATTTGTTTCTGCAATTGAATTAACTAGCACATAATGAATTAACTTTCTATTACAAAGCTATCAACCCAGAATACATGGATTTCAAACTCCAAAATGGCTACTGGTGTCTTAAATATGGCTTCAGCTGGGAAGCATGACGGGGAATATGTTACATCAGATACAAATAAGGCTAGCTTGCACATGTTCCTTAAAGTGAAATGTGGAGCAAATCATGAGCCTTACCTGTAAGCTTCCTCCATCAGCTGCACATCACGAATTCCTAGAAAACCTTGAAAGATCTTCATGACATTTGAAAGTATCTGGAAACAACAGTAATGGTGCTACAACTTTAAATTGAAATTTGATATCTTTAATTTTTTTATAGCACAAGTTATTTCATTTTTTTTTTTTCATTTTTTGCTATACCAAAGTATRTTGCATTTCTTACCCGTTCATCATGT